AAGATTTCATTTGTTGTAAGAGACCAAACAGGTAAACAGTACGACATGGTTGAGAGTATAATGGCATGAAGATAGATATTTGTACCTGTGCTGTTTGCATGCTGAGCCTCTGGAGCTGCAGGACGGAGCGGTGCTGATGCTGCAGTGGCTCAGGCTGGACGAGGAGGGACCTTTACAGTACTTTGGACACAAACAGGGGGAAAAAAGAAGACATTGTTACATAAAATCATCAGAATTCAATGTAACAAAAATCATTTTCTTAATGCAGACACTTTTTCTTCTTCCAGGGAATGACTGCAGTCAAGCTTTTCTTTCTGCAGCCTGAACTCCAGAGGTTAAAGGACTAAATGTGAGTCCATTTAAAGACATATTCAGCCAGTTGACTGCAGTTAAACACAGCGTGATGTTTGTGATAAAAGTGTTAGTTTATCTGTATTATTAGTAAAATATCTCATGAACCACTGGATGAACTTTGTGCAGCTTCCAGTAACCAAATGTAAAAACTGTTTTTATGTTTTAATGATGTCTCAGGGGACATGTTGACCCAGGGACAGTGGAAGGGTTAAATTAAGTTTATACTTGTATGTTTTCAAACTGATATACATAAATTAGTACCACTTTACAATAAGGCTCCCCTTATATACGTCTTGTAAATAGTTTATAGATAGGTTATTTTTCATCTGGAAACACTTTATAAATCGTTAAAAAGTGTTTATTATTAAGGACAGGAAAGAGACAAAACTGTCCGATTTCTTGCCAAATAGTGAGCCAAATGTGTTCATGTACAGTATATCACATCTAAACGTGCTTATTAAACATTTCAGACTAGTTTACTACCATGTAAGCACAATAATTTATTGAAAACACATATTTTACATACAATATTGTACTGTATTACTGCATTATACATATCCACAGTAATCAAAGGGAGCCTTTTGTAAAGTCTTGAACAGTATAATAATAATAATGTCATAACAGAGCCTTATAAATAGTTTTACACTTTACAATAAGGCTCCTTTATGGCATTCATACAAGATTTTTAGTCATTTATAAATAGTGTACCTACTGTCTTACATTTTACAATAAGGCTCCCTTAGACAGTTGCTAATGTGTATTTTACTTAATTTGCTAAATTAAATCTTGTAACATTTACTTGATCAAGCAAATTAAGTAAAATTTACCTGATTTATTTACAAATCTTTAATTATATTCTTAATAACTTTTACTAGATAATGATGAGTAAATATTACATGAATTTGTGGCATTTAAATTTACTTAACAAACATTAGTGCAAATTGTTACGAGGATTTTTTTGTCACTTCAGTAGAAAACAAAACTAAATATTAGAATTTATTTAGTTTATCTCTTCATCATCAGCGACTTCTTTTTTCTACTAAATCTTACAAGTTCTTTAAACAGTGCACATGCATCAAGCACAACATTGTATCATGACACCTCACAGCTACAGAGAGGTGTAGCTTTTGTTGTAGTTCAAGACTTCACCACCAGGTGGCAGTTTTGAAGAACCTTTATTGGATWCTTCTTCATGAACAACACAGACAAAGTGAAACTCACAGGTCTTATTAATGACTAGGCCTGCCACTCTCACTTATGGTTACTTCTGCTGAACG